TTGGCCAAATTCCATTTTGCATTGTTGTTTTACATACCTTTTCTCTTCCAGTTTCAAACAAATATACTGCTGATATTCACATCTTACCTTAAAGGTCTTGTGGTGGTATGCGTAGTCTAGGGATGTTAGCAAGTAGTCAACTACCCAATTAGCTTATGGAGTATCCACTACTCACTTCCCTCCCCCTTGCTGTGAGAGGCAGTGGAGGAAGGGGGAGACAGGAAACCGTGCTAGGGGGAACCAGCTTAAAAGTTGCCCTCTCCTCCCCCAGCACCATCTCCACAGTGCCACCTGCCCTGCCCCCACTGCCTCTGTCAGAGGTAGCAGGAGGGGAGGGGGCCGAGGGTTGCCATGGGCAAAGGCTGCTCCTGTAGCAGCCCCTGTCTGTGGGAGTCCCAGCGGGGAGCTAGGCCCTGCCATTGCAGACAGGGGCTGCTGCCACCAAGCAACCCCTGATCACGGTGGTCCGGGCTGGCCACAAACAGGGGCTTCTGGACTCAGTGCTTTAGCTGGCTCCTGGAGCTACTACCCGCTGTGGCTCTGCAGAGTGGTCCTTATCGACTAATCATGTAGTTGATACAAATTGTATGGGCTACACAATTAACCAGATTACTAAGCTAAGGATATTAAATTGCAGTTAAGGTTTGCCTATTTCCATCCCAAAATTCACTTTTATTTCACTGTTGAAAGAAAGTGGTATCTGTACATGTGTGTGTCTAAGCTTTTCAGAACTGTGTGCCTAAAATAATATATCAACTCATGGAAATAGAAGCCTAAATAAAGGTGGACTGATTTTGAAAACTGGTGACCATCTGCACTTTGCACAGATTTTAGTGAAAGACTAGTCTAAATGCTGAGGACTTCTGAAAATCAAGTCATTCATCTTAGATAGATGAGTAAAGAGCCTAACCTAAGCACTGAAATTTACATAAATGTAAGAAAGTGATATCATGGGCTTGCTCTTGCTTCTGGGGAGAAATAGTAAACCTTCTGTTAAGAATGAGAAAAGGCAGCCGAGATTATGGAAATCTGACAATTTCTGTAACCTTCTGTAGGCCTTACTTCAAACTCATGATGTAGTGGCACATGAAGTTTACAGTGACGAAGCATTGAGAGTTACGCCTCCTCCCACCTCTCCATATTTAAACGGAGATTCTCCAGAGAGCGCCAATGGTGACATGGATATGGAGAATGTAACACGAGTGCGACTGGTACAGTTCCAGAAGAACACAGATGAACCAATGGTATGTAGGTGGTAGTACTGTTCTCTTAACCCTTTAGAGCAAAAGAGGTGACAAACTGTCTACCTTAGTAGTTTTCAACCCACGGGGTTTTACACAAACGTTGCACTGCTTTAACTGTATGAGTATAGGTGAAGTGTGGTACAACCTATGTAATGTGAAAACAATAATACCAGTTTAGAAGTGCTTCTACCAGTATAGCTATTCCCATATGGAAAGGGCAATACGCAGTACTGGTATAGTTACATAAATGTTAGAGACTGCACTGGTATATGTATTCTGATTAAAACAAACCACACCTTTAACTGATACAGTTATAGCAGCACAAAACCATTTTGTAGAGCTGACCTTGAAATGTAAAATAGTACTGGAGAGTTTGCAGTTTAATAAATTATTACATTTTAATAAGCCAGTGATTCTTATTGCTTGTTTATACAGCAGTTACAATCTTTAAGAACTATAACAGATATAAAGAAACCATGTTAGTGGAGTTGAGCAGTTTGACGCTCCAATTACATAAGTCCAAAAATAGATGCCCTATTACTATTCCATAAGGAAAAATGTATTTTGAATACACTTCTCTAAAACACTGTTATGCTGTATATTTTTTATTGATTAGCATAGACAGACTATGAAATATATTAAATTATTTTATGGATATACTATAGCCTGCATATTAAAAAATTGTGTCTTCATCTTATAAAAATCATTGTCTTTACATTTTGCTAAAATGCATCTATGTTATAACCAAATTTTATCAGTTTTTTAAAATGGGAAATTAGTATAAATCGTAAATGGAAAAACCTGTAAAAGAATATTACATTTCTGGAAAATAAATGGTATACTTTAATTTTTTTGATGGGCTTTGAAAAATAGCAAAGGAAGAAACTGTTTGTGTGTTGAGCATCTGGAGTATTTCCATAATGAGTTTTATGATGATATCTTGATCTCATGAATGCAACAGTGTATAAATTCCTAAACTAAAGGTGAAATTCTAGCCACTTTGAAGTCAATGGCAAAGCTCCCATTGATTTTGATAGGGCCAGAATTTCCTTCTAAAACATAGCTGCATCTCAAGCTTGCCGCAGAAGTGACCATTCTTAATGGTTAAAGGAACAGGTTGCTGAATATTTTTTCTTAATGATTTAACAATTTCTTTTACTAGGGAATCACTTTAAAAATGAATGAGCTGAACCATTGCATTGTTGCAAGAATTATGCATGGAGGAATGATTCACAGGCAAGGTAATCTTAGGACATAAATGGTTTTGTTCTCAAATTGGATTACTCCCATAATCAAATACATTTTGCATAGCAAGTAAGGACTTGATCCTAAAAATTATTGTTCCACACCAGTGGACCTGTGTCTGTATGGAGCCTCATTAATTTCACAGAGTCATCACTCAGATACAAGAGTCAGTTTTAGGAAGGGCACCCAAGTGTTTAATTTTGGCTTTAATACATAATGATGCAGACCATCTCAAGCTGCTTCTGCAGAATATCAGTTCTTAAGTGTATATAGTTTGGAAAAGTCATATAGATATAGATATAGATATAGATATAGATATAGATATAATTCTTTTCTAAAATTCTCAGAATAAGCATAACTTTTTTCTTGATATATTGAAAGTCTGTTCAGCAGAAATTTCAAATTTCTCCCATGAATTGTCACCAAACTTCTGAGACTCTTGGCAGTTTGACTGCTGAGGTACCTACATATGAAACTGGAACCAGAACTTTTCTTTCCCATGTAGCTTGTATCTTTGTTTTTGGCTTTCACTGCTCTGAGCTATTGCCAAACCTTTAAACCTGTGCCTGTTCCTCTTTTCCTTCCACTTTCATCCAGTATGCCCATATATATGTATATATATGTCAAAAGTAATTAATGACTGAGCTGAGAACTACCGACTCAGTAGTGAGCTAACCCTGGCAGACTGCAAGTTTGAGCTGTATCTCTAGGGAGGTTTCATGAAGTTCTCAATTTGAAAACTGTCATTTTGTGACCGTCATCAAATCTTTCCTAAAAATGGCAGATTTCAATTTTTGTGAACCTGTACATTCTCTTAAAGGGAAACCATCAGTCTGAAATCTACTCAGAAAAGGATATTTTGCCTATAAAAGTCACAGTTACTTTTTTGTTATTGTCTTCTTTTGGAATCAATTAAATGGTAGCCTCCACCTTGTAGTAGCTAGGTTATTACTTTGTATAATAGACACTGCTACTTCCAAAATCAGGGGGATAGATTCTTTTCAAATTTTTATAGAATTTTCCACTGTGCCCATTAGAGAATGGACCCTTGCTATTTTTAAATTATTGTACAGCATCAGGTATTTCAGAAATTTCTAGGAGGTATTTAAGCTTTTCTGTTTGTGCTTTATTTAACTTTGGAATGCTTCTGAGTATATTCATTAGTCTTGAAATGTTATTCTTTTCTGGGTCGTCTGCATATAAGTTCAGGTAAAATGCAGCAAATGCTTAAACATTTTCATTGCTTGTTCATTTATCTTAAATATCTTTTGGTGTTTTGCTCTGATTACCACTCTAGATGTTTGTTGCTTCCACAGTTGGTATTCCAGGAATCTGCTGACTTATTTGTTTATTCAAAATTTCTTTGTCAAATCTGATGAGTTGTCCAGTTTAGCAACTAAAATGTAAGTTGGCAGTAATTTCATGTGCTACACCAGCCTTTGATTCCCTTACCAATTCTTATGAATTTTACCATCATGTTTTATTATTTCTAAAAAGTATTTTTTTTCTATTAATGCAAGGAAGAATGTAGGGCTTCCTAACTAAACAGGAAAACTTACAATACACAGAGGATTGTAAAATATTCAAAGTAAACAGACTAAAAAAGTAGCAAAGTATAATTATCCCCATTTTAAAGATAAAGACTTATGGTTTGGAAGCTGAAGTGATTTGCTCAAAATGAGTAAATGGCAGAACTGGAATTAATCTTGAGACTGTCTGACACACCATGATGCTCAATGAGAGGCTTTTTAATAATAAATTAATCTCTGAAATAATTAAGATGTTGGATTCAGATTCTGAAATTTGAAGGAAATAAAATGATTAAATAGCTTATTTGAAATGCTATATGAATTTGTATAGATTTGTATGTTCTCTTAGAGGGACACTATGAACTGGAAATGTAATTGCACTTGACATAAAAGATTAAAGGAACACTGTCAATTTAATAATTGCACTTCTATTTCAACTTTTATGTACCTGTTATTGTTACAAGGAATTTTTAAGATTACTAGACATGAAAGAGATTAGAAACAATGTTTACCTACCTTTTAAAGGGATTTGCAATGTCAACAGTGCTTTGAACAAGAAAATACTTATAGAAGTATTTACTAATGGGTTGTCCTAAAATAAAAGTGTTTCTATAAAGAATTACAATTTAGTTGCCAAAATGTCTTTTGTCCTCTAGGGAACAACTTATATTTAGGTTTTTGTTTCTGTAGTCCCCATGGAACTTTTTTTTAATCAAAAGTAAATGTTATCTTAAAGTGGAGATTTTTCATTATGCATTACAGCAATAGCGAATTATTAACCAAATGTAACAGAAAAAATATCTGACTTCCTTATGAGCCTGATTAAATATTGGTGGTAGTCTCCTGTAATCAATGCATGTGATTGTATCACTTAATGTTCTGTCCCCCAAATAGTTTATTAGCTTCCATATATTCAGTATACGGCCAAATGATATGATTTATGTGCTCAATACATTCTTAATTTCCCTCTTGTCATTTTCCACGGCTGCATGTCTGTGTCGGGGTTTTTTTTGTTCAAGATTTGGCAATATAGCAAGTGAGCTAATTTTTGTGCTCTCACCTTTTCCTTTGTCCTTCATACCCAGTTTCCCAAGCAGGGTCAACCTGTGCAAAGATTTTCATCCTTGCTCCATGTGAACTGGTAATAACACCCCAGTTTCAATCTTTAAGAATTGTACCCTTTTGAGAGGAGTGCACAGATTGTATTTTAAATTGTTCCACAACGGCTTCTCTATGCTTGAGTGTTAACACAGAATACTTGTGGGCTTTACTCATCTTGAGAATATGTTTAGAGTCCTAATTGTGTGAATGCATGTTTCTTGCTTTGGCTGCAGTACAACTAGATTCCCTGGCAGTTTCAAATGTCCCATACCCAAATGTTTTTAGATTTTGTGCAGTTACATTTTTTGTTTTGGCACATTTATGTCAACAGATGTATTAATTTTAAATAGGAATTAGAGACCAGCGTGCTACTGCTGATCCAGGACACACATTTCCTGCAGAAAACATGGCACTGCAGGTTGATTATTCATATCCGTAAAAACATGATTTAATTTGGAGCTCCCACATATAGTTAAACCATGAATCTGTAAACACCCATGTCCTAGGAAAGCTAACAAAGCATTTTGTGAGCAAAGATGATTCTGTTATAAGAGCATGAATACGATTACATGGTGAAAAGAGATTACTGTAGTGTATGTACATGGACTATCTCCAGCTTTGCCAGCTGCAGAACTTTCCTGTAGCTGTAGAATTTACTTCCTTTGAGGAAACTGTTCCCTGTTCTGACCAGCAGAGCGAGGAGTTTCTCGTACTTTTGTACATATTGAGAGTGCAGACTAGCTGACAGTGGGCTCGTTTGGTAAAGGCAGAGAGAAAGAAGATTGCCAACCAATGGGTCCCTGTTGTTTACTATCATAGAAATATGTATATATTGCCATAGATGCTGGAAAACACAAATACAGCTGGTAAAACAGAAAAGCCCCCTACTCCTAAAAGCTTGCAGTAATATAGATAATCAACAAGGAGGCAGCAAAGGGAATGCTGAGAAGATGTGCACTAGGATTATGGGAACAATTAGGCTAGAAAGAAGGCACCACATAGTGATACCAGGAACAGCTTCTCCCATCAGAAAAATCTGTAGAAAGTGTCCACAAATGATAGAAGCCTCAAACCTTCCTCTCTCCCCAGTGACCCAGTCTGACCACTGCCTTTTCTTGTTCACCCCCTTCCCAATTTTCCCTTCTTCCACACACACCCTCCGCCTTCCCCCCCATCTCCCCTATTTATTTTGGTCCTAAACATCCAACACTCCTGTCAGCTGAAGAAGTGGGCTGTGCCCAAGAAAGCTCATGATACCATCTACATGTTTTGTTAGTCTATAAAGTGCTACCAGACTACTTGTTTTTTTCATTTTACCTGTACAGACTAACTTGGCTACCCCTCTGAAACTTCTTTCCCTTTCTCTCTATTAGCCAACCCATCTCTCCACCAAGACAAAAGAAGAGGTCTTTAAATCCTCTCTCAGCTACCCAGCTCCTACATACACTACCATTCAGATATGGATTGTCACTATTATCTTCCTCCACAGAGTAAAATAAATGTTAAGCATTCAAAAGAAGAGATTATATTTTACTGGATTATCAAAATTACTAGTCTGATGAGATTCATGATTGATTATAATTATTTTAATTTTTAATTGAATCAAAATCTGTGTTTGGATGTTTCCCAATGATGTTTTACACTGTTGCAGAAAATATAGTATGCCAAGGGATATTTTACATGATTGTGCCATAGCCATGAAGGTGTCTCCATGCAGAGCTTAGTTCCATCATAGTCCAGAACTCTAATTAATTTGGAATCAAATGTATTTTTGTAGAAGGTGTAAAGGGCTGAGAGAGCTTGCCAATGCTGAACTTATGTAACTTTTTGTAACTTTTGTCCTCAGTTCATCAGCTGTGAGCTGTTTTCATTTGAAATTTAAATACAGAGCTACTTCATTCACAGACAGTAAAGTACTACCTGTGATGAATCCTGATTAATGGTCCCCCGAGGCAGGACAGAGGGATTGCACTGGAGTCCTCCCTGCCCCTTTTTGCTGTCAATAGCAAGCTCCTGGGGAATTGAGTAATTTTTTTTCTGTGGGATAGAGGACTTTCTCCTGAACAGATTAAAAATTTGAGTAATCCTGATCTGTGGCTTTCTGGGAGCTTTAGTGGACCAAGGGACCTTGTAGCAGTGTCACAGGCTATTGGCCAAAGGGTACTTAGGCATTTTAGTTAAGCCAGGCATTCTTTTCTTTGTTCTAAAGCATGTGGTTTTGGAATTCAGTATTTCTGCCATTTCAAATCAGGCTGAATTTTAATACTCAGATTGTTAGCATGAATGCGTTTTTTTTTTTTCCAGTCAACAAGGTGATTTTTTCCAGTCAGCATGGTCAATGAGCAGAAACACTATTCGTAGCTTAGGTGATTTATTGCCAACGTCTATTTCCAGAATGGCTTCATTTTGAAAAATAGATTATCAGCTATTGGTTCTTTAAGCAAAACTAATTGTGTTTGTAAAATATTTGGAAAGGTATACTTGGCAAATAAATGTAGTTAATTAACAACACAAAGTAATCTAGTAACTGTCTGGTGAATGATGGACTTGCTACATCATAAACACTAGCAATTACAAAACTTTTACTGTATGATCTTTCACAATATGCACATTTTTCTTAGTATCCAAAATACTAAATACTTTTCTTAGTATCCAAAGTTGCATTAGAATGGGCAGCATACTTGCACCATTGATTTCAATCAGACTTTGTATGATAAAAAATGTGTATAGTTATGCTCTGTAAAGAAAAAAGATATGTATAATAATTTTAAAATAATGATTTCTAGAGTAGAATTGTTCACTCTGAATTCCACTGCTTAGACACTAAGTCCTTACTTTAACGTTTTATTTTAATGTTGTACAGGTTGAACCTCTAAAATCCAGGATTCTCTGGTCCAGCAACATCCATGGTTCGGCAGGACCATGAATATTGCCAAACCAGAGAGCCCTGGCTGGCCAGGTTCAGAAGCACAGCCCAGGCTGGGCTGGGAATGTGTCAGCCGAAATGGTCAGGGCAGTGTGTGCGTGTGTGCTACATCCAAGTCTTCAACTGCTGAGACGCAAAGTCTCGTTGCAGTGGGCAGCCTAGGAGGCTGGAGGGCGCCCCGAAAAATAGTTTAACGTCTGTGACTTGACTGCTAGGACCGGGGTCCTGTCGCAGAGGGCAGCCAACAGGCTCTCAGACGCCCCGGTGTGTGTGTGCGCTATACACCCGAGACTTCAACTGCTGAGACCGGGGTCCCTTGCAGCGGGCAACCTGGAGGAGGTTGACGGGCGCCCCAATGAGTTTATAGGGAGAGCTTATAACACCTCGGATTTTAGCTGCTAGGATACAGAAATCCCTTCGCAGCAGGCAGCCTGGGGAGGCTGAGAGGTGCCCCAATGGATCTGTCCCCTGGAAGCGACACGATCCAAAACGCCCAAGCTCTTCCTATACCTGTCCCTTTTGACCGGCTGAAGTTCTTTTGTTTGTGTTCGGTTCGGGTACAGCAGCACGGGTTCAAGTTAGAAGCTTGACACGCACTGGCTTATTTATAGGAGAAAGAAAGAGAAAAGAAATAAAGAAACTTGGTTCAGTGTGTATATATATATATTTTATAAGTGAATGAGGGCACCCCACTTATTCCAAAGTTTATAGCTAAATCACCTTACCAAAGGCAGTTTACAATAGAAATGAAGCAGTTTGACTTAAGAAAACTATAATAAAGTAACTAAACTTACAACAGAGAGACAATTAGAGTGTACACATAAAGAAAACACATTGCAGGTACAATTCTCACCCCTGCGTTCCAGACTTGGCATGGCCAGCGTCTTTCTCTCAATCCCTCGGGAAGAAGTAGGGCGAGGTTTGGCGTCCCACGGACCTCGGGAGACAATCAATACCTACCAGCAGGTGTAGGTGATTGGAGCTCAAATGGGGTGGGCAACTAAACCCTCTTTATACCCCTTGGGTCACATGGGCTTCTTCCTAGTCTCAAGTGGCCAATTAGGAAAAATGGCTTTGAACGCCAAGTTTCCCACGAAGGGTGCAAAGCATAATTTACACCTGGGAAAATGCAGACAATGGGCACCTCTGGTATGTGATGGGCGAAGATTCCTCTCTGGGACAGTGCAGGCGTGTCAATTACTGGTACTAGCCATCAGGGCGACGGGAGGCCCCGGGTCGTCAGCTAGCCCATTTACTGTCTGGTTTCTGTTTATGGTAGAGTCAGGGACAGGCATCACACCTGCGTTCCCAGGGCATCAAAGGCTGACTGCCTTTCTCTTGCTCTCTGGGGGGGGAGGGAACAAGATGAGGTTCGTGGAAAAACTAGATGGGGTTTGTGTCTGGCTACAGAATGGCACAGCCCCAATGGGACCTGCATGGTTGAGAGCACAGCCCTCGCTGGGCTAATGCAGTTGGAATCTCAGCCTCAGTTGGGGCTGGCATGGCACAGGAGCGCTGTCCTGGCTGGGGCTGGCAGCAGGGAGCGCAATCCTGGCCGGGGCTGGAGTCAGCTGGACATGCAGCCCAGGCCGGCACCGTAGCAGGGGGCAGGGAGGATAGCACAATGGTGGGGACGCAGCCCCAACTGGAAGCAGCAATAGGCGGCAGGGAGGGCTGCACCACCTGGGAGCAGAGCCTACAGCTGGGTAGGGAGCCTTGACCTCTCCTCATCCGGCAAAATCTGTAATTCTAGACAACTAAGATCCTAAGGGTTCTGGACCAGGGAGGTCCAACCTGTTTTGCCAATCTCTATTTGGGTTGAATACTGTTTCACAGTTCTATTATAAATGTACACATTGATTATTTGTCATCTGAAGAAGTGGATCTCGTCCACGAAAGCACATGATACTACCTATATATTTTGTTAGTTTCTAAGGTGCTATAGGATCATTGTTGTTTTTTAAGTTTTTTTGATTATGGACTAACACGCCTACCCCTCTGAGACACTGATTATTTGTTTTTGTTAATTCTGCAGGTACCCTCCATGTAGGAGATGAAATCAGAGAAATAAATGGAATCAGTGTAGCAAATCAAACAGTAGAACAACTTCAAAAAATGCTTGTAAGTGCCTAAATGCTTGTTGACATTGGCTGTTTAATATTTTTAAATAAGCAACAATAATGATCCTTTTTTTCTTTTAACAAAGTCTCTCTAAATCACAGCACTCTCCATTTTCCTTCCATTCTTCATAGCTTACCTGATCTCCCAACACAATCCCTTTCCTCATTCTACATTCCCTATTCCTCCCCAAAATATCACCTAACCAATTAAGCTATGCTCTAGCAAACCACAGATGTATCCAGGGTTTCTTCCACTGTGCCTTTTGTGCATGGAACAATCTCCTTGAACTAATCCATCAGACACATTTTTATGATGCCTCTAAATAATCACCAAGTGTTCGAGTAAATCGAACATGGGGCAAATTGCTGATACACATAGATCCATACGTATTACCAGAGACAGTCTGTTATAACACAAAGAAAAGGACATATTTTAAAATTGTCTATTATATTATCTCCATTTCCCTCAGGTGACATACGTATGTCACCTAGCATACGTATGTCACCTGTCAGCTAAAATTATAAATTCTTCAGGATCAGGAATTGTCTGCTTCTGTACAGCGCCAAGCACAATGAGTGTTCCTTTTTTGACTTTATTTATAATAACATTTCAAAACCCTGTTGTAAGCAGCATAAGATAAAGCAAAAGATTGTATTATCTTTATTATTTTCTCTGCCCTCATAGCTACAGAGGTAATTAATGATCATAAAATTATCCAAACTTTTCCAAACTTTTAAAAATTCCCTGGGGTATTTGTCTCCAAGACTTTTTTTCAAAAGTGAACTTCAGAGACTTGACTCTAATCTCAAAATAGTATAAAATATTTGTATTTTTTTTAAATAGCCTGCCCATTGATTTTAATTTAAAATTTAATCACGTGACCCTTTGGTCTCATCACTTAGCACAGTAAAGTAAAAGGACTGAAAGATTTTTCACTATGCACTGCTTAGTTTTCAGTATGTAATTTATCTTGTTCTCATTGAAGATCTATTTCTTATTATTTCTACTTCTAGCAGAGTAAAAGGCATTTGTTATAATAACTGTGAATATTCCTATTTTGCAAGAATATGTCCTTATGGCTACTTCACCATAGGATGCGTGCACCTATGTGCATTCTCAACAGAAGATATGAATTCGAAGTGTCCAAGAGTCCATGCCTGCACATTTCATAGTTTTGCTGCTTCAGCGCAAAAGGCTTATTCAGAGGGTGGACCTGCTGCTACTGCAGTTCCTTCTCAACTGGCTATGACTTGATATGAAGCAACGGCATGACCATTGCTTCCAAGCACATATTCCCAGTTCTTTTAAAATTTTGCTTTATTTATTTTCTCTAGTATTTAGTTTAAATTTTGTTTATTTTCCCCTTTCCACAGATTTAGTATATTTTAGAGGGTTTCCAGCCACTACCTCCTTCCCAGTTTAGAACCAATTGTTTGGCTTTTGCCTACTCTGAGAGTACGATAAAAGCCCCAGGATTCATAGCCTTCTAGGCCTGCAGTAGGTATTTCCACTAGAGTACCAAGCTTTCTAGCTGTTTTCAGTGTCTCAGACTCTCATATCCAATTGAGTTTGAAGCTTCTTCTTTCAGAACACTCTTGCAGTCCTCGCTTTTCTGTCCTCTCTCTCCTTTTTACTTCAGCAGCTACTGAGGTTGTTTTGGAGACAAAGGACTCAGAGGGGAAAAAAAGCTTTCTTGTCCTAATAGAGCCTCCAGGAAAAGAGAGAAAATACCTCTTGGGAACTGAATCTGAGGAAATACCGTTTTCCAGGATGGATATCTCTAAGGATCCTACAGGCATCAGCACCAGGGCTTTGGCACTATAAACACCAGATTAATTTAGAAAGAAAAGTATTCACTATAGGGAACCAATTATTCCAGCACCAGCTAGGCATCAGACTCTTAGAAACCTTAAGGCTTGAAAGAAATCAAGGCACCGTTTTCTCCAGCACCATCTTCAGACAGCGTGCACTCAGTGGGCACTCAGAACATAGAGACATCACCTTGACAACCACTTCAGCACCATCTCAAATGAGGACCTGAGTAATATGCCTGGTCCATATATACCTTTTTGCAGCTCTCTGGCACCTGGAGGTTCTTATCTCAAAAGAATTTATCTGCGTCAGAGGAACAGGCATGCCCCTCTTGCAGATGCAAAGAGAAATTTCCCACTCATAAGTAGTACCATGTCAGCCATGCTCCTCTCCTCCCATATCAGCAGGTTACCCGATACATGTCCACCAGCGTCTCTGGCAATGTCCAGCGCCCCTTCTGGTTCTTCTGGAACTCTGAAATCTTGGTGCAGTGGGCAAGGACACACCACAGTCTAAAATGGGTCAGCAACCTTTTCAAACCAAAGAGCCAAATTACATCAAAATTCAGAGCAAGTGGTCAACAAAGAGCCGTATAAGAATGCCCATTTGCGTGACTGAAAATATACAATTTCCTATTAATGATAATTGACATCATGATTAATAATAGCATCAATGAAACATTGTACTCACACTTTATTTAATGGGACTTTTGCTACTGCATCTTTTCTCATTTTTTTTGAAGTTTACATTATAACTGGTCAAATACAACTTCACACATGCATTCAGGCTGTCTTCTGTCAATCTTATGGCAGGGAGCTTGGGATGTGCGGGTGCAGGAGTCTGGGTTGGAGTGTATGGGGGGTTCAGGGCAGGGGATTTGAGTGCATGGTGGACTCAGGGCTGGGGTGTGGGAGATGCAGGAGCGTTATGATGCTGCAGCCAGACGGGGGCTAGGTTCCAGTTGGAGGATGCTTGTTGGCTAGGCTTTATTTTTAAATAAAGTAAAATATTATGTCCAACACAAAAGGTTTCAACATTGTCTTTATTTATGGCAAGAGATGGAACTTTTGTTGGGTCGGGGCCAATGACCCACAGAAAAATCAGTCAGGGACCACACAAGTGAAAAGCAAACAACAAAAACCCAACACCCCCCCTTATTATGTGGCCCCCAACTGAGATACCTCACAGGGGGGGGGGGGGGGGCAGGGAGGATTGAGGTTCTAGGTCTCATGCCAGATTAATTCTTGTGGGGTTCCAGGGTTAGTGGATTTTGTAGGGGCCTGCCAGGCTCTGGGGTTTGGCCAAAAATGAGGGGTCCAGTGTGCGGGACAGAACGGCCAGTGAGTGGGATAGGGATTGGGGGTGCAGGATCTGGATGAGAGGTAGGAGGCAGGAGCAGGCTGGGGTTGGGGTTTCTGACCGGGGAGGAGGGTGCAAGAGAAAGTTGTGGGTGGGTGTCTGGCCGGGGGGAGAGAGCAGGAGAAGGTTGTGGGTTGGTGTCTGGCCAGGGGGAGGGTGCAGGAGCAGGGTCTGGGCAGCACTTTTTTTTCCCCCTAGTGTCTGTAACAGGGTTTATTCATTATAATAGATGCAAGTCACTCCCTCATAACAGCCATCCACTGCTCACATGGGTCATGGATTAAGTTAGCAGCCCAAGGGCCAAGTGTGGAATGGAGGCCTTGCCTTGCCTTGCCTTGCCTTGCCTTGCCTTGCCTTGCCTTGCCTTGCCTTGCCAGGAGTCCTGCTGGCAGGTCCAGGCACGGATGGGAACTGGCCCACTCAGTCATACTTCTTGTACCTTTCCAGACTGGCCAGGATTCAGCCAGCTGGCACCAGGAAGAAGGTGCCCAGGCTGATGATGGACTCCAGCAGTCCTATGGGGCTGTCCAGCGGGCGCAAGTACATGGTGTATATGGGCAGAGCAAGATGGGGGCGCAGCAGTAGGGACATGGCCTGGCAGCAGCGGGTCCTTCATGGCCAAGATAACATCCAGGTCTTGTTTTTGCGCCCAATGCTGTTCTCAGCCTCCCTGTCCCAGGCATGGCCTCCCACTGCTCCATTGGCCACATTCTGGCCAATGGAACAGTGGGAAAAGCCTCTAGGCAGTACATCTTTTCCTCCAGCTGGGGGAGAGAAAGGGAGAATGTGCAGAGCCATTTGTGGCTCTGGCTTCTTCCCCATCACAAAGCAAGCCTCGGGGCTTTCTCCATCCTCCCACCCCCCGCAGGAAGCCAGCACTGGTTCCAGTCTGGCAGGGGGTGGCATGTCTGGATCACATGGAAAGAGGGAAGGGGGGACTAAGCTCAAGCTGTGAGCCATATTTGGCTCCTAAGTGAGCCATATGTGGCTTATGCTCCATAGATTGCCAACCCCTGTTCTAGAAGGTACCCCAGACACTCCAAAACCACATAACTGATACATATCCACAACCCTAGTGGACCTACTTGGAATCCCTGGACTGCCTATGTGGGGCAGTTCTATAGGGTGAGCCCACAACAGGCAATAAATGGAAGTTTCTCAGGTCTCAACAACCACAAGCACCACACCTGCAGTCACCAAATACTATGTGTTTCTCTGGTACAGAAGGAAGATCATGAGGAGGATCTACTAGCCTCCTGCAGAGGAGGAAATGTAATAGTCTCATAAATTCTCCTCCCTGGACAAGGCAGTGATGCTGTTTCCCCCCTTTTATGTGGACAATATTAGCTCATTGTCAAGCTATGATGGCAGATATGACTTTACTAGCTATGCAAAGTTTACTCATTTTATTAGCAATTTGCCATAGCACAGGAGGGAGAGATTCCAGACCCTCACTTCTGAAGGACAACTGATAGCCATGGCCTCTTTATAGGCTGTCTTCACTGATGATGATACAATTTCACAATCATTAGTTGTTTTGCGATGTGGATCATGGCTCCAATCATCCAGCCTACCCAGGAAGACCATGGTGGAAGACCTCCTTTTCGAAGCTGTTCAGCAACAATACTAGCACCTCCTTGTGTTCCCTCAGTAGTCAAGCTGGAGTCAGGAACCAGGGAACAGTGCTGGGATTATGAGTCACTTAGCAGTATCAAAGGTCAAACCAAAGTCAAGGAACAATGTCAAAGTCAAACAGGAGTCAGGGTTCAATACAGCAGCATGTCAGGACAGTTGCTCAGACAACTTCCTATGCCTGTTTCTGGCTTAAACAATGTATCTGAATGGATATCTCCTCTAATCAGTAGCTTCCTAGGCAGAGCCTCCTGTGGGCCAGGGTTCCACTAACCTTCTCCTATGCTAGTTCTGCAGACTTGTGGGTTGACTGTCATGGTCTGTGAACTGTTTGGGGACCAATGGGCCCATGTTCGAGACCCACAATCCTTCACATGTGCTATACCAGACCAGGGCCTCACTCTCTCTATTCTTACGTCCACTGCACTTAATTCACAAGATATTGATCAAACTACAATAAGAACAGGTGAGAATTTGGTCCAGACAAATGAGGTGTTCAGATCTATTTCACCATTCTGTAGAGAAACCTTGTTGCCTCCCCCTCAGATTAGACCACATGAGATAGAACTTGGGCACCATAAGACATCCTCAGGCTTCTATTCCCAAACCTTATTGCCTGGTTCCTTAGTAGTTCTCAGCTTTAGAGTCAGACTGTTTAGCAGAGATACAATTTGTGCTCCTGAATAGTAGGAACCCTCTATTCCTAAAACTTACTTGCAGAAGTTTAAATGTTTCCTTTTATAGTGTTCCTGTCACTCTGTATCTGTATCTGAACCTCTTCCTTGATTATTTGTTGGAATTAAAAAAACAAGAACTATGAGTTTTGTCAAATACCTAGCAGCTATTTTGGCATCTAATTCACCTATCTGGGGCCTCTTGGCTATATTTCTCAAGAGTTTAGCACATCTCTTTCCATATAATTGGAATGCCACACTTCCATGGGATCTTAACTTGGTTCTCACTGTCTTAAGAAACTCTACACTCAAACCTCTGGGCACAAACCTTTAAGACCCTCTACCTGGTGGTCACTCCTTGGTTAGAAAGGTGGAAGAAGTTGTGGCACTTGTGGCTACTCACCTTGCTCTATCTTCTACCATAACAGGGTCACGCCATGCCCTGATTCTCTGTTCCTGAAGTTTAGTCAGATTTCCATATCAATCAGGATATTCATTTGCCATTATTCTTCCCCAAACCTCACTCCTTTAGCTTTTGCACATTAGACATTCAGAGAACACTAGTCTTCTGTCTTGACCCTTCATGGTTCCCCTAGACACTTTGCATCCTTTTCTGGAAGAATGAAGACAGTTGATATCAGAAATTACCAAAATGGGTTTCAAGTTGCAACATAACCTGCTGCAAAGTCATTGGGATCTAACAACACTACCCCAAATACCCTGGGTGACAGCACACCCTGCCAGGACTCAGTCCACATCTTCATCCTCCTCAAAAACATTCCTGTCACCAAAATTAGCAGTTCCTCAACTTGGTCCTCAGTTCACACATTCTCTAAACACTGTTATTCTACCTGTGTCCAAAATGTACACAATCTTTGGTGACATCATCTTCTACCGCATCTTGGATCCACCTCCTCCTCAGCATTCACCTCTATGTTGAGCTACTGTTTGGTAGTGACTGCGACAAAGACTATGGAGCACCCACAGGGACATATACTCAGAGAAGGAGAGGTCACTTATCTTTCAGTAACTTGAATTCTTCTAGAATGTTTTGTCCCTATAGGTACTCTACTCCCCTCTGCTGCAAAATCTCTGGCTCTATAGTTAAGAAGTAACTGGAGCTGTGCTAGGTCTGCTTCTCCCCCCTACAAGCCCTCACACAGAAGCATGAGGCCATGTAATGCAGAGGTGCAGCCCTGTGGAAACTGTTCATTCAAATCTCCAGACAAGAGCTCACAGGCATGCATTCCTCCTCTGATGGAGCATCCGTAGAGACAAAACATCTTCAACATCACAAATTATTGAAAAGTAAGCAGTACCTTTCAAATTATTAAAAAGTAAGTGGCAATAAAAGGGACCGCAACCACATTTTGGCCCCAGCACTTTTTTTTTCTTGACAAATTATTCCTAGTGGTTTGGTTTTTTGTTTTTTTTTTTAACAAAAAAAAGCACTGAAATTAAGTAAATTGATCAGGGAAAATTAATTTATTTTACAACAAAAGAATTATGTAAATCACAAGAAAATAGCTGAGGGAAATGGAAATGTGTACTCAAGTCTCATCTAAAAATACAGCTGTAATCTCTCGACTTCTGAAGACCAGTCATGCTATCACTAATGGTATATATTTGCTTTTCTGTTAATAAGAGCCAGTCTGAATGTGTTTGTTTCTAAGGGAAAGCACATGCTTGTAAAAGCTTTCCAGTTTATTTCTAAAGGTTTATTTTAGGAAGAACTGCTGCTGATCACAGAGAGGCTGTGCTGTTTTTCTTACAGGTATTAGAGTGGTTTTTTGTGTTTTATCTGCAACATTTTGTTTTTTTAAAGAAATAATTTTCTCTCTCTAGAGGGAAATGCGGGGGAGCATCACATTCAAGATTGTACCAAGTTATCGCACTCAGTCTTCGTCTTGTGAGGTAATGAGTTTAATGAACCATTTCCATCCTTTCTCGGCCCTGTAACTAACTGCCTGCTGATGGCTGAATGTTCTTGCTTTCTGGGAAATTGTTTCTGCCTGTGCTGTTAGATCACGCACACCAATTTTACAACAAAGATAACGGAACAGGAGTAGGTCCCACCCACCTACTCAGCCCTGCCTTCATATTCATCTCATCAGCACCTTAACTAATCCTTTACAGCTTGTAATGGAAGTATGGAATCCCCTGTTTTAAAATTAATGATTTAAAATACTTTGTCTGGGAAGTCTATTTGAGTTCCTAAGTTCAGGAGCTTGAATAAATATTTCTTCTCTGTTTTTAACATGAAAAAATGTGTAGATCGATTGATTGATTGATTTGGGCTGTTAAGGGTTAATTGAAGATCCTGGTTCTGTATAAATATGTTCAGGTAAATTTGTGATAATTAAATGCCTGTAACAGTAACATGTGAAACACTTATGTTTCTATGTAGAATTGGTTATATATTGTTGTTCAAGAAAAACATGTTTGGAATTCAGTACTCTTTGAATTAGCAAAGTTATTAGAGAAAGATATTCTTCCTATTTGGGCTTACAGATTGGCATAAGCGCTGCGTGAGCAATGCTATTCTTTCCATGGTGCTTGTTCAGTTGTACAAACCATTCCCAAATGTGGAAGCAGGGATCTTTGGGTGAAGACCTGGACCCCACTGTAGTCAAAGGCAGAACTCCCATTAGATCTGCAATTTTACCCTGGTTGACTTGTTTATCTGGAAGTGCATGTTATAGATCATCAGCATACAGAAACTAAAATTTTCATTGTCACTTGGATTTTTAAAAATAGTTATCGTGTTTATTTGAAGAAGGCCGTTATTCTGTCTTTCTACATTTCTTTTATCCTCTTTATTTTTAAGAAAAGTGGAAAGACCTTTATGAAAAATTCCAATATTTCTCCCTTATAAAAATGAATTTTTTTAACCTTCTAGTTGTAACCAATTTTTCACCAAAGACAAGAGCAAAAACAAAGCAAAGCTGCCAGTGAAATACAAAAAGCTTGTAATAATCCCAAATAGGGGAGAAATTCTAGACTGGTACTAAGGAATATGTCTCACTTCTTGTGCTGTTACTTGAATCAGTAATAATGGAAGATGTTTGACCTCCTAATAATAAAATGAAATAAACTAATACATTGTAAACTTACTAAGAACATGATAAATCAAGATGAAGTAAACCAAATTTATAAATCCAAATGAAAGTTTTAATATTCAAGGAAAAAGATGTTGTCTGAGGCAAATAGTAACAATAGGACATTTCTTTTGCTTAGTCTTTTAATGTAGTTCCTTTCGTGCCTTCTGTTCTAGAAAAAGAATGAGGATGGACTCCTACTTTCAGTCAGGCAAAACATCAGAATTAGAAATGTGAGATTAAAGGACTGGGGAAAATTAGGCACAGTGATGTCAGGCACGTGGTAAATTGCATTCATCATGCCTTCGTCTATCTTATCTGTTCTGTGCCCATGAACACATCTGCACTAGGAATGCTTCTAGCATTCCAAACCTTAGAACTGCAACAGCCACTTTTAAAAATCATAGTGCTACAAAAAATGGTACCTTTCCCTTTCTTCTCTTCTCCCCACAAATATAGAATTTCTCCCTTGGAATTGTGCAAGTATGTGAAATAGACCAGGTAATATTTGGTTCTGAGCTAGTTTAAAGTCTTTAAGGCCAGTCTCTTTCAAAAACAGAGGGCTAAAAATGAAGATGTTGTATGCCATTTTAGAAAGCCATAAAATAGTTGTTCTTATCCCAGAGTATATTGAGAGAGATCTGTGTCACATTTCAGGATGCAATCCAGACAAGTGAAGGGTTGTCTCACCACCTGCTTTGCCACCATAGGTAGTTCACAATCTTTGCTGCAGCCTCTCCCAACCTGGGTTCTTCAATCAGCATGTAGGTCTCTGTACAGCTGCATCTTAGCAGTAATTCTCCAGTCAACACTATGGCTTCTACCAGCCTCGGTTACAGCTTACAAGGTGACCCCAACACACTCCCAGTCCCAGATTTTCTCCAAAAATGTGTGTTCTGGACCATTCAGATATGAGAGGTTTGTTTCTCCTGCAAAGATTGCTACTTTAATTGGAGTTACGAAACTATTCAGTTAAAACACAACATTGGATTAGTTTTGAGTACAAGTATCAGGTATTACAGTCAGAAATAATTGAGAGAAATAAAGATTAAATGCTTCCTAATAACTAGAACTTAACAACGTAAATTTGCTTCAAGGTAAAATCTTTATCATATGTTCCAAGCAACACTGCTGACCAAATTCTCAAGTCCTGATGTGCCATCAAAGAAGCTGATGGAGGAGGCTATGAGTCCCCACTCTGATCCAGACCTGGGAGACTCTTCTCCTCACCTCCCCTGTACATTGGCCTCAGCCAACCGCCAGTGCCCCTCCAAGCATGAGCTGTGGAGTGGAGGTGTCAGTCCCAAAGTCCCAAGCACTCAGTGCATAGGGTTCCCCATGAAAGTAAGAAACACTCCTGCCTTGGACCACCCAAAAGACCAGCTAGTTATTAGATTTCAAATTATACTTCACAAGGCCTATTCTTTAGATTATTACAGTGGTATGTAGGGTGTGAATACAGGAGTCTGTTTGGTCACAGCTTGGTCTTAAAATAGTAACATCATATATGGCAAATCTGTTTTAGAAATGTTTCTGACCATTTCAAAACTTTATTGTATTACTTCCTCCAAGGCATAGACAATTGAAGTCATCCTAGTACAATAGACTAGCTTTGCAGCTAGGGAAATACAAAGTTAGTGCCACTGAATTTTTAAAAAAATTCTAAACTGTTGATCATATCATTCAGATTTTTCTCTACTTATTACCCTCAGACATAATTAACTGTTCTTAAAATCAAACATAATATGCCTTTAGATATAAAGACACATTTTTTTCTATATTTGGAAGATATCACCTTTGAATATATGAGTCTTGTAAATATTCAATTATATCTGTCCACATATGAGGCTCTTTCATAATGTTTAATGCAGTTCTTGTTACTTGATCATGAAGCCATCAGTAATATGTAGAGATATATCTGTTCATGACTGCTGAAAATGAAGTATGATCCTCTTATTGTGAAGAGTCTTATTGTAAGAGTAGGTTAATCACTTCTGAGTCAGTGGTTAATCATAATGTGCTTGAATCCAGGCTGTTATATGTGGTTAAGATTTTGAAAAGCAGGTAAGGGATTTAATTACACAACTCATTTTAGTTTCAGTGGGTCAGCTTTGAAAATCTCCAACTGAGATTTTATTCCAAACTCACTCAGATCTTTGGCTGTCATGCAGTGAATATGCTTCATCATCTTTTAGCAGATCTCTTCGTGCATTTCTCATGGCATGAGGGGGACAGGCTGCCAGATCTTGCTCATCCATGATAAGGTAAAGTGAAGCAGGTTTCAAATCTGAGTTGTATTCCGCTTGGACAGAAAGCTGTCATACTACTTTAGATTTTTCTTCATCCAGAGGTCACTGTTAGAACAACTAATTGAGATTACCTAGATGTACTAAAGCTGAACTAAAAGGCAAGCCAAATCCTTGATGCCTACAAGGGGAGTTACCCATTAAGACAAAACTATGTAGTGAGATGTCAGTATTCTAGGAGAATATTTTGGAACATTTCCATGCTTTATTATAGCAATAAACACTATAGAAAAAATCAAAGAGGGGATGCAGAAGTGTCACTTTACTTCACTTTCTCTCCTTAATGTAGTGTGTGTTTAGGTGGCCTAAGCAGAAATCCTGGTGTTCAGGTAGTGCTGCTTTAATCTTGGCTGCTCAAAGCACCTAGTCCAAATTTGCATTAATTCTGGCCTGCTTGAAACACTTAGTCTGTTCTGTGTTTGCCTCTACCTCCCAGGAGGATTGGCAGTTTTGGATCCTGAATTTTTCTGTTCTAATTCTAAGCAGTCCTTGTATTCTAAGAAGAGGCTACATTGTGTCTGCTGTCTTCCAATAGGCTGTATGCAATGAATTCCTCTTGTAGTTGAGCAAATCAGTATAGCCCAAAGTTCACAGTATCCACTGTCCCCTTTAGTTTTTTCTTAGTCATAGACGTTAAATCCAGAAGGGACCACATGATCATCTAATGCTCCAGTGAGAGACCCTTAGTTACTGAGTCCTCAAGTAGTGAGTCCCCACAGGTGCCATGACGCCCGCCGGGCCATTTCTGTGCGCCTGCCGAGTGATCGGGGCCAGCGCCGCCCCCGGACACGTGATGCATGGGCGGTGCCGGCCCCTGGGCATGCAGCGTATGGGTGGCCCCACCCCCGGGCGCGCGGTACATAGACTGTGCTGGCCCCGGGCACGTGGCGTATGAGCATCCCTGCCCCGGGCACGTGGCACAGGAGCGGCGCTGGCCCCAGGAGTGCGGCGCATGGGCGGCCCTGGCCCCTGGGTGCGCAGCATATGGGTGGCCCTGCCCCCGGGTGCCCAGCGTGTGAGTGGCCCTGTCCCTGGGTGCCCGGCAGCCCCAGAAGGTTGGGGACCACTGACTTAAGTAATAGAAACATTACCATTTACACTAGTTTAAGCCTGCAAGTTGTTCATACACCATGCTGCATGTGCAGACAAAAAAAATGGGGGAAGGGGGTCTCTGCCAGTCTGAAGCTGTGGAAAATTCCTTCCTGACTGCAAACGTGGCAGAAAGATGATTCCCAGACCTTTCTGCAACACAGCACCTGGAAAAGAATTCTCTGTAGTAACTCAGAGCCCTTCCCATCTAGCATCCCACCACCAGCCATTGGAGATCTTAGCTGCTAGCAGTCGCAGTTTACTACGTGCCATTGTAGGCAATCTCATCATGTCATCCCCTCCACAAACTTACCAACTGACGCCAAGTAGGTTTATTGCCCCCACTACTCCCCTAGTGAGGCTATAGCAAAACTTCACATCTCTGATGGTCACTTTATCTAATTTCAAGCCTAAACTTATTGAGGCCAATTGTATAGCCATTTACTCTTGTACCCATACTGATGCATAACTTAAATAATTACTCTCCTTCTCTGGGTATTTATCCCTCTAATGTATTTATAGATAGCAATCCTATCTCCCTCAGCCTTTCTTTGGTTAAGTTAAACCAAGCTCTTTGAGTCATCCTCATATCCTAGTGGCTCTTCTCTGCACCCATTCCAGTTTGAATTTGTGTTTCTTAAACTTGGAAGACCGGAACTGCACACAGAATTCTAGCTCAGGTTGCACCAGTACCTTTTATAATGTTACTAAGACGTCCCTGTCTCTACTGGAAATACCTCACGTTGGATGCTGCAGTGGTGGTCCCAGGCCACCCCCTTCTCCCACAGACTGCAATAGCAGCACCCTGGGCCACCACCACCCCCAGCTGCAGTCCAAGGCTGACCCCTCTCACCAGCTACAGTAGCAGGGCCCCAGCCTACACACACAACCCAAGCTGCGGTAATTTGCCCAGACCTGCCCTCCCTCCTTCACTCGGAGGTACAATAACTGTGTCCTAGGCCAGCCCCCCTCAAGCTGTAGTAGTGGTGCCCTGAGCTCCTACACACACACACACACACACACACACACACACACGCACACCAGCAGCATTCCAGTGTCCCTCTCACCAGTAGTGCCTGTAGGCCTCCTTCAAGAATAGCAACAGTGCTTCTGGTACCTTCCCTTTTGAGAGTACCTAAGATTTATGCAGGGGTATTTATAGTAGAAATCACAGACTGGTCATAGGACTGTGAATTTTCGTTCATTGCCCATGATCTGTCCATGACTTCTACTATAAATACCCATCACTAAATCTTAGCTTTACTCAGAATCATCCAGAGATCACCCAGTTCATGCAGGTCATTTTCATGCTCTTCACTTCCTGCTAATAGTCCCCATCTTATAGCAAAAATGATTGTTTTTAGTCCTGTGTGACTTTGCACTATGCCCTATTAAATTTCACTCCATTTCTATTACTCCAGTTTTCAAGGTCATCCAAATCTTTTATATCATATTCTGGTCCTCATCCATTTTGGGAATACCTCTCAACTTTGTGTCATCTGCAATTTTTTTAACACACTCCCATTTTCTTTTTCCAAGGTCAGTAATAAAAGTGTTAACTAAGATTGGCCCCAGGACCAAGTCCAGGGTAGTTTTACTAGTAACCTTTATCCTGCCTGATATCACCTTTCAGCATGACCCTTTGCAGGCTCCCCTTTAATCAGTCCTCATATTTATCCCCATATTTCTGTCCTCATACTAATTCCCATTTTCTCCAATTTAACTAATAATTTCTCATGTTGAACTATAACAAATGCAAAAACAGTGAGGAGTCCTGTGGATCTTTCTACAAAAGAATTTCAAAACCCGATTGCAAAGAGAGGGAGACAGCTGAACTGGAATTCATTTGCAAATTCAACACTATCAATTTAGGATTGAATAAGGATCTCAACTGATTAATGAATTACAAAGGCAATTTCCCTTCTCTGGATATTCCCATCTCCACACCAAATTCTATGAATGACCTACTTCTACCCTGACTTGATTAGCTTCATTAACACGAAAAACGTCTTCCTTATATATACTCCTGCTTCTGCAACTTCCACTCCAGTTCATCTGACAAAGGGGGTTTTACCCATGAAAGCTTATGCCCTAATAAAGCTGTTAGTCTCTAAGGCTATGTCTAGACTACAAGCCGCTTTTTCGAAAGAGAGCACCCAGGCAGTCTGGATGTTCTCTTTCGAAAAAGTCCTGTTGGCATTCAAGAACACCTTTTTTCAAAAGAGAACTTTTGAAAAAAGGCATTCTTCCTTGTAAAATAAGGTTTACTGCGGTCAAAAAAAAACGCTGTGTTCTTTCGATTTAATTTCGAAAGAACACAATGGCAGTCTAGACACGGGATGTTTTTTCGAAAAAACCCTGTAGTCTAGACACACCCTAAGGAACCACAAAACTCCTCATTGTTTTTGAAGAGACACACTAACATAGCTTCTCCTCAGAGACTTGTATCAAATGCCTGACTTGACATTCAGGTAGCTTAGATCATTGCATTTCCTTTGTGGAACAAATCAATTTCCTTCTCAAAGAAGGAGATCAGGTTGGTCTGGCACAGTCTACCTTTAATAAAATCATGCTGGATTTATCCCAATTGCTGTTTATTTCTATGTCCTTTAACTATAGAAATAAACTCTTTCAAAATTTGTTCCAAGATCTTGCATACAATTGAGTACAAACTAACAGACCTTTAGTTCCCCAGATCACTTTTTCCCCTTTTCTTACAAAGAGAAACTGTATGTTAGCAATTCTTCAGTTAGAACAACCTTCTTGTTCTTTGGCTTCATTGATTTGTGGAATTAGCAATTGGGGACCTAAGAGCATATCACACTAATTCTTAATTGTGATTATTGGTTCCTCAGAGGTACCAAACTTACTCACGGCGTTCTTTTTTAAAATTTTGTTTGGGTTTGTGATAGTTCCAACTATTCAGCGGTTCAAGGGGCACTATATAGATTTCATGGACTCCCACATAGCCCATGAAACATTGATTATTTAATGCCACTAGGGAAGTCAGAACAAGTTATGTTCCTTAGCAGCTCTTAAGAAATAAAAGCTGGTCACAGGGGCATTACACTGAGACTGATCTCAGAATATCCTCAGGCCCATAGGTCTTTGTAGTAGGCCAAGAAATCATCCCTTGGAGGGAGATGCAATCAGGAGACTATGCACTTATGTGGTGCCCTCTGCCTCTATCTGGACTTTTTCCTTGCCCAGGTGAGACACATAGGCTGTGTCTGCTTCCAGTATTTCTTAAAGTTTGCCCATTGGCAAACTGTCATTTCACAAACAAACCAAATCAAGGGTACCAAAGTAAGGTACATATTACATCTGTTTTAGACAGACAGAGAGGTGGGCAGTGCCAACAGATGACTGCATCTGAGGGGATGTGACAGGGCGTGACTCACCACTGTGGCACCTCCTGCTGGCTGCTCTGAGCTAAATCCCAGTCTTTACACAGGACTCCCTCCTCTAGTCATGTCTCACTGCTGTAATATATGCTCCAGAGCCATATCACTTTCAAGGATTGCAGAGTCCTCTCTAGGACACAGCCCTCTGGTTGTGCCCATTTCCATTCTCCTCTCTTTCAGTGGAACAGCAGTCCGCTGTCCAGCCACTTGTCTCAGTGGTTGACTGCAGTCCAAGTTCCATCCACTTGCCCCAGGGACAAATTGCTGGCCATTCCCCTTAGTGGCAAGTTAGAGCCACAGAAAGGGAGCAGACACCACTACTTTGGGTCCCAACCCAGGACCCTTCTAGCTGGCAGCCACATACTGCCCCTCCTCTGACTCCTTTGTCTACTTCCCTGGACCACTTCTCTGCAGCAGCACCTTTTCTGCCCCTTGAGTCAAAGCCTCAGGCTATGCCTAGACTAC